CTACGAGGCAGTGCGACAGGCTTATGACAAGAGATACTAAAGAAATCAGTTCAAAACAACAAACCACATAGGCTTAGGCAAATTTCTAGTATCAGGCGACAAAATTTTATAAAATGTCTAAGAACAGCCTCTATTCATCTTGATTGGCATCAAGATTTTTGAGTTTGGATTCCAATTCATCTTCATTGCCTTCACCATCATCCCAGACTCTCTGTTGTTGTCATCATCTCCTCATTCAGGGGCATTCTCATCCAAGGGTCCAAGCTATTCCAAAGATTCTTTGAAGATATCCTTCAACTCATCATTACCTTCATTAGAAATGAAGTTCCCATTAACATTCAGCAACTTGAACTCGGGGTTATGCACCAAAGCCTGAGCTAATGATCTGGCACCAGCCCCTCTTAATGAATTCACGCTCATATCAATATCCTTCACTTGATCCTGGGCTTCAAGAGCCTTGCTGATCCAAATGGCACCCTCATCATCGAGTTCATTATCAGATAAGTTCAACTTTGTGATAGCCTTTTTAGCATAAATGCAAGCAGCCAAACTGGAAAAGCTTCAGCTGTAATATCATTTCCAGTTATCTCCAATATCCCAAGTAAAGGGGCTGCATCCTTGAGTGCATTAGCTATTGCAATGGCTCCCTCATCTTCCATATTAAGGTAGCTCAAATAAACCTCAGTAAGATATTCATGTTTGGAAAGAGCCTTGCTCAACTTGACGCCAACCTCTACGCCAAACATGTTGTCCCGTAGATCAAGTTTCTTCAGATTCTCATATCCCCCAAGTGCTTCAAACAGAGCAACTCCTCCTTCAGACCCTACTTGTGTAGATGAGCACCATAAATCTTCCAACAAAGGACAACGCCTTAGAATCTAAGAAATAGCAACAACCTCTTCATCTCCTGTCATATTATTATGAAACTGAAGAACCCTAAGCTGCTATGTGGAAGGAACCAACTCACAGACAGCTCGTGCAGCTTCCTCTGATATTCCATC